GAATGTTAACACTCTGTTATAATTCTTTAGTATATTACTTGTGTGGTGTAGAAGAGAATTATCTATGTAGAGATACTGCTTGCAAACCAATGATGGTAAGATGATGTCATGGGGTAGGACTGGATAAGTCTGACTTCTTCCTACTCCATTCAAGCATGTACTAGGTATAAGCAAATTGATATTGGATTAGCATTTGTTGGATATGTGTAAAATCATGTGTGTTGATATATAAACTGTCTTTACATGCTTGAAAGAATAAATAAATCAAATTTTTGCTTGAAATACAAAATAAATGATTTGTCAGTTATCTAAATAATTGCCGATTAATTTTTTGTAGATCAGCTGCCACTAAAGATATGTTGGTGAAGCATCAAAATAAACCATTTCAGTCACAGAGCTCTGCTGCTGCTGCTCCATAAAGCTGCACAAAAACAGTGCCACAACAGCTGTTGTCAAATGGAACTCTGACGCATCACTTTAAAATGTGTTTATCACTGTGTTGCGTTATTGTGTTGTGTCCTGTCAAGAGTGGACTTAAAACTGCAATATTTTGGACATGTGCCTTTAGTAAAGTATAGAGGCTTGAAATGAGTTCTCACAGCTACAGCAGAGATGTAACAAGTGTCATAGGGTGGATGCTGTCAAATTTTAATTTAAATTCTCAGAGTGTGCACCACCAGTCAAAAGGTTTAGATCACCTCCATGTTTCCACTAGTTATCAGTGTAATCCAACAGGTTAACACACCTTTCTCAATAAGGAGATTTCTAATAATAATATCTTAGATCATCTCTGTAATCAGTAATGATAATAAATCACGTTATCCTGATGACTGCTTTTGAAACCATGTGATAATTGCCGAGGTGTCCCGTTGTTATGGCGAAACTCTTGCTTACGCTAATATTTAAAAAGCTGGTCAATACCGACGGTGAAGGAGGGGAGAGAAGAAACGTGGAGGTTCTGTAACTCACTGTAGCAATCAATTGAAACCCCACCGTCATCGGACCAACTAATATCACGCGTTTTCAGCCCTGGTACTTGTAGTTTCGCCTTCCTGACGGCGTTTTAGGTCAGGGTGTTATCGTTTAGGTCGAATTTGAACGAAGGTGGGTATTTTGATAAAACATCCACAAACAATATTCTACGAGAATCATCGACATCTATTGCTGTTCAGAAGCCAGAATCTGTCAAATGTAAGACATATACTGGGCCGCCGAGCATGCTGGGAAAAAAATGTCACAAAGGAGGCGTTCCGTTTGAACAAAGCGTTTTCATTCATGAAATAGTGAGTAGTGGTATTTAGACTTTAGAGCAACTTTAAACTAATGCATTCAGGTATAAATTTAGATGTAAATATAGATTTACAGTGTTCAGGCTCTACTTAGAGGTAAACGAGATTTTCTGACACTAATGTGGAAGCTATTTTCATTAACATTTATATCTCTACATTTTTACCTTTACCAGTAGTTATTGTGGTAGCAGCAGACAGTGGAATAGTGAGATAAGCAATAAACATTTAAGAAAAAAAATGTGTGATTTAAGTTATGAGGGTCCTGTGCCCCAGTGGAGTTTTATGTCTAGCAACCGAGTACCTCTTCCGGCGCAGATTAAACTTATTTGTCCTTTTGAACTACAAGTCCCATGTGAAGGCTGGCGTGCTTCGTCATCTATCGTGGACTGTTGTTCGGTGCGTCCGACGGGAGAAGTTTGGAAAGAAACGTGAAACTTTTTAAACGTTATGTGTTAGCGGTGTTTCATGTGCTCTTTAGTGGCAAATTCCACAAAATTCCCACAAGCGACGAGTTGAACTGAGAAACACAACGCGGAGGACGTTTATGTTCAGGTGAGTGAACATTTAAACGGTGTGTGAAGTTGCTAGCTGAGCTGTTTGTGTCCGACTGGCATGAGGCAACCAACTGTCACTAGTCGCTGAGCTCCGCAGGAGATGTTGAAACCTTAACCTAACACAACATTGGACGGGCGGCGGAGGGACAAGTGTCCTTGTGTTATACTCAAAGGAAAATGCAGATGAAGCAGCGTGAATTTAGACGAGTTAGCTCAGTGTGCTAACTCCCGCTTCTTCGCCGTTAGCTGTGGGCTCACAGATGAGATAGTGTCCGAGCAGAGGCCACCTGTTGGTGTGGATCGTAAGGTACTCCTCTCTCACGGGTCTGAAACAGTTCAATATTCACTTTGAGATGTCTCGAGGCCGAGTCATACTCACACAGCCGCTGGGAAGTGTCAGGAGCCACAAGTCATTAAGGAATAAGGTCAGAGACTCGGTTATCAGGTACATTTACAAAAGTGACGTTACCGTTGTTCTGAGCTACTTGTACTTGACTTTAGTATATCTATTTTACTATCTGTGCTTATACTCAAGTAACTGCAGTAGTGCTTATACTCTGCAATTCAGTGGGACATATTGTACTCTGTAACTGACTATTTCACACTTTCAGAGTGTTTTTTTTCCTTTCTTTAAAAAGTATTTGGCAAGTTTCTAAAATGCAATGCGGATCTAAACTTTAAACCAGATCTTCTATCTTGAGAGCTCTTTAATGAAAATTGTGTGGTGGGAGTCTCAAAACATGTCAAGGGGTCCCAACGCCTCATCATTTTTCAGATGTGTAGCAGCTCCACCAAAAATCCATTAAAACAAAAAGGGATTTACTGTTTGGGGCTCAAATTGATCAAATTGTCCAATATTTCACAAAAAAATCTAACATTACAGAAGTATGTGATATTATTACTAATAAAAGTTGCTCTCCCATGAATTATCTCATGACCCATGACCCCTCAGGTTTACTTTGTTCCCCCCCTAGGAGAGGCTTGACCCCCCCCTTGGGAGCCACCAATAAACTAGCTGACCATATATAAAGTATAGCTCTACACTGAGCAGCTGCATCAGTAAAATTCACTCAGATAACAGTATTTCTTATTGTTAGTCAGCCAAATATAATGAAATGCGAACCATCTAATATGGGGGCGACAGTGGTGGGTAGGGCAGCCGTCTCCCAACTGAAAGGTTGAAGGTTCGAATCTTGGTGCCTGCAGTCCACATGTCGAAGGGTCCTTGGGCAAGACACTGAACCCCCCCAAGTTTCCCATGATGGTGCCGTGTATGCACCAGCGGCCCGGCGCCCTTGGCTCCAAACAAAATTTCGTTGTACATGTCACAGTGACAATAAAATAAAGCTTCTTCTTCTTCTTCTTCTCTAATTGTCATATACTGTATGATAATATATCAGTCACAGAGGACATTTTACTGGAGCACTTTTTCTTTTGATACTTTTGATTTTAAATTTAGGGCTTTTACTTACCTAAAAACTTGTGCCTTCTGAGAACATGTCCTATACATTAGCTCTTTTCTAACATAACACAACCCTTGTGCTTTTAATAAAAAGGAATGAAATTCGGACATTTTGTGCAAATTCACTTCTGTAGAAAAGTCCAAAAGCAAATGATCTGTGGTGCAAGTGCACTGCTACACACTGACACACATTGCCATATTGATTGTTTGAAACATGTATCCACAGCTCTTGAAGCTGTTTTCATCTGCCATTGTTTCACTGTCCCTTCTCCTTTTTACTCTTATTTTGTTTCCTCCTCCTCCTGTTCTCTAGGAAGTGATGTCTTCCCAAGAAGAAGCAGCGCCGGCTGGCGAGTCAGTTGTCCTAGAGTCAGGTGCCATGGCTGTGGATGCTAAGGCGGAGCTTACTACTCTGCTGGACGAATGGGAAGAAGCACAGCGGGGCACCACAGAACAACTGGTGTCCATCCTTACTAAGTCAGCAGGATTTTTTTTTTTGTGGTGTTAATGTTTATTTACTGTAATTAGATAAAACAGACCTGGCTTCATGTCAGACTCCCTCTGTCCATCTACTGTATTTCTGTCTCTGGTTGATTTTCAAGAAGGTGACTGTGTCTTGTCCCTATGCTTTTTGCAGAGTATCAGAGCTGATTGAACAGGAGACAGGAGAGTATCACAGATCAGATCCTGATCCGTTTGATGACCGTCATCCAGGTTATTACTTAAAATGTCTTTTATTCTTTTTATAACAATTAAAAACACACTTCAGACTATGTAGTTGTACGTGATTTAGTAAACAAATTAATTACCCATCTGCAGATCATTTTTAGCATTTTTCACTATAAATGTGCAAGTAAGGTTTTTCTGAGCTGAACTGAAGCAGTCATTAATTTTTGTGATTGGTTGATGAATTTCCAACTCCTGTCTAACTGTACAGGGCGAGCAGACCCAGACTGTATGCTGGGACAACTCCTGAAGATACTCTTTATGAATGAGGACTTCACTAATGCGGTGAGAGCTGTTGAGTTTTTGATGAAATCATAAGATGTGGTTTGTCCATCAAATGTTTTCTTCTGCTTCTGGCACAGAGCATGTATGAACCTAAACCATACAAGTGATTAAAAAAAATAAAATAAAATAAAGACTTGATCTCGGGTGCCCCAGTAGTCGAGTGGTTATGGTGCGGCACCCATATGCGTACTCACTTCACAACGGTGGCAGATTGCGTCCGACCACCATCCTTTGTTGCACATAAGCTTTTGGAATGGAATATTCATATATGCAACAGTTAGTTGGCACTCTCATTGGAATTTAATGTGTGTTTTGCAGCTGTTGGACATGTACATAATGACCAGCACAGAGCTGGATCTCAACACAGCAGCCTGTCGTCTGCTTCAGAACATCATGCCAGGCCTGGACACTGCAGTAGTCTTCCAGGAGAAGGTAAAACATGAACATAGACTTCTGTCAAAGGTGGCTTCTCTTTATTAGACAGCACACAAGGAAGGGGGATTGACAAGGTTAGATGTTGGGAAAGCAGATAGTGTGTAGCATGTTTTACATTGTGGTGATCCAAAGCACAATAAGCTGATTAATACTCATTGCTGGTGAAAAGGTAAAAGGGCTCCACCAGGAAGCTGAAGGACTGTTATATACTGAAGAAGGCAGAGCCAAAACATATCTGCATTTTCCCCTGTGCTAATGTGCGACAGTTTGAACTACATCAAGGGTTAGGTACTTTGGATTTTGTGCTTGGTTGAGCACAATGTTCTTTACTTCCACCTTTTCAATTATGATGACCAAGAAATAGAGACTCATTACAGTAACCGTGGACCCCTTTTTTAACCTCTTAAACTATCAGGATGCCAGAAATGGTCCCAGAGAAGTGACTCATCTGAACAAAACACTGAGATTTTAAATACTTTTTTTTTTTTGTGGAGGTGGATGTAATGCTGCTGTACATTTGCTGACTTGTGAGTGAATCACTTTGTTTTGTGTGTGACAGGAAGGTCTGATTGGGAAATTGTTCAGCTGGGCTCGGAAATCAGAGCGACCACGGTGCGTGTATGCCGTGGGCCTGCTGGCCAGAGCCATGAGCAACCAGGAAGTAGCGGCCAGCCACCGTGAGGAAAACGCTCAACTGGTGGGGCTCACACACATCCATAGTTAGTTATACAACATACAAAAGTATGGTAAATGGATGTAAGTAATGGTTTTCTATGCACTGAAGAGCTTTACACTAATAGGACTCGCACACACAAATGTTGACATACTTACACACCGGTGAGAGCAACTTGGGCTTCAGCGTCTTGTCCAGGGACACTATGACATGTGAACTGGAGAAGCCAGGGATTGAACCACCGCCGTTCTTCTGGACAGGGGATGACTTTCTCTACTTCCTGAGTCTCAGCTGCCCCAGTATGATATGTACTCCATCCATGCATACATCCATTATCTATACTGCTTATTCCTGAATAGGGTCGTGGGAGCTGGAGCCTGTCCCAGCTGACATTGGGCAAGAGGTGGGGTATACCCTGGACAGATCGCCAGTCCATCACAGGGCTATGTACTCCTTGGACAGGACCAAATAAATAGTATATTGACTGGAATTAATTTGGCCATGTCTCTTGTATTATGACCACCCTCCTTTTCTAAGATCTGAGACTTCTTGAGGACAGGAAATACTGCAGGGAAATTCTCCTGATTCACCATTAATTTAGAGACAAGAGAGACTTAAATACAGATGTTTAAGATAACAGGCCATGCAAGTCGAGAAGGCACTACAAGTGGCACTATAAAGTCTGTGAACCCTTTTGCATTAACTGGTCATAAAATGTGATGTGATCTTCACTAACAGACAAACACAATACATTTCAATAATACACAAACATTCAGGAGGAGTTTTCAACTGTTCTTCCTCAGTGAGCTGCTTCATCCCAGACACACAGTCATTGCCCAAAACATTGCCACCCCTGCATTTGTGTCAGATAGTGCACAACTTCTCCCAGAAAATTGTTGCAATTCTCATGTTTGTTTATTTATTTTTTGTGTTGGAGCCACACACTGGATGTCTTGACTGTGTGTAAGGCATTATGAAATCTGAAGACTTCCAATGAATTCTGGGGTGTAATGCAGGGCCCAGTGTCAGAAAGATGGGTCTCTGTCAGAGGTCATGGATCTTACAGCAGGACAATGACCCAAAGCAGAATTCAAAAAGCAGAAATGGTTTCAGATGATGTGCTGGAGAGTTCTGAAGTGGCCAGCAATGAGTCCACATCTAAGTCCTATAGAGCACCTGTGGCGTGATCTCAAAACTCAGGGTGTCTGATGTGAGTGCTCTCTCAACTCATTCCACAGCATCTCTGTTGGGTTCAGGCCTGGGCTCTGACTGGGACACTCCACAAGGGAGGATTCTTTTAGGATTGTTTTGTAATTCCAAAAGGTTCACTTAGATTGACATGATGCCACTGTGGTTTGCATATACAGTACATACAGTACATGCCACTAAACATGTTCTGTGGTTTAGGCTATGTAATGTCACATTTTCTGACAGTTTAAGGAGCAATGTTAATGGAAACATGACTTAGTTTAAAACGTGATTATCACTACACAGTCTTCAGTAACTTTTCATAATTCTTATGACTTGTTTCCTCTGAACATTCAGGTACCAATCTTGATTGGGCGCCTTCATGAGCTGCAGACCGAAGAGGCCAAGAATCACCTCAGTCCCACCAAGACCTCCCAGAATCTACCTCAGGACTCTCAGGTTAAAGCCATCCAGACCTCAAGCACCTCAACAGACCAACAAGACCAAACAGAGGATGAGAGAAACAAAAGAGGTGGTGAGAGCAGCAGGCCAGTGTCAAAGTCCAGTTCTAAACCTTTGTCCCTGCTTGGTTCAGCCCAGAAAAAGGGTGGCTGTAGCAACAACCGTGGTGGATCCAGCTCAGCACGGCTGCTTCCACACTACGTTTACCAAGTGCGCTCAGACCCTGGCTCTAGGGAGACGGAGGACAGGCAGGGAGGAAGAGGAGGAGTGAGGGCAGTAAAGGAGAATGGGAGGAAGGCTAAGCAGAAGTTGAACTTCACCTCCTCCTCCTGTAGAACTGAGAAGGAGCTGGAGAGAAGTGATTGCAGTGAACAGCTGCCCAGCAACTCCTGGTCTGCAATGAGCCCGATGGTGATTGGCTCTGACTATTGCCTTTCCCCACTGAGCCCAGCCATGGAGCAGAGGCTCATCCTGCAGTATCTGACACCACTCGGAGATTACCAGGAGGTGAGACTAAAACCAGCCACAGCTTGTTTTTAATGTGTCCATAGACTTTGCCGAACACTCACATTTCACTCAGTCTCAGTCCTGTTAAAGCACCTGTGAAGTCAGTAATCTTTCTCCCCTCTTTAGCTGCTTGCTGTCTTCATGCAGCTGGACACGCGGTCATTGCTAATGAACTACATAGACCTCCAGCGGACCAATAATGTCCAGCTGACGTTTGATGCACTCCTGGTAAGACAGTCGTCCTCACGAGCCACAAAAAATCATGGAAATGTGCTGCAGTGTGTTCTGGATTATTTTTGTCCATAGACTTAGATCCTTCCTGAGTCACCCAGTCTAAATGCCAGCATCACTACTTTCAGATCTGATGACTCAGTGTTCTTTGATTATAACACATTACATTATATTTTTCCAATGAAGAACAGAGTCATACACTCAGTAAATAATCAAGATAATTCTTTGGTGAATTTGCTGTTCAGTCCAATTGGTTGGTTCATTATTAGTTTAGAGTCGCCAATCAACCTAAACTGCATGTCTTTGGACTGTGGGAGGAAGCTGGAGTACCCAGGGAGAACCTACAAATACAATTACTTAAGTGAAATTACAAATTAAGATCAGACATAATCACATGAAGAAATCTGGAACTAATAAATTGGTGACTGAATGTGTGTAATGTTGATGCTGAGAGAAATGTTCATGATTACACTTGTCTGATCTGCAAGTTACCAAAAACCATACATGTGGTTCTCTCCATTATAAATGACTTTATTGTCACACCCACAGACTGTGTTCACACCAATAATTGTCATGTAAATGAGTTTTTACTTTAAAGAATACAGTATATCTCCTGGATTATGCATGGATTACATAATCATATTTGTTTGTGATCATTAATTTTGAAAGAAAAATTGTTACATATGCTGCACCTGTGTTAGTTTGTTCTGCTTTGGAGATATTTTTAATTTGTTTAGGTCTTAAAGTCTTAAAAAGTCCTAAATTTAATTTGATGAACAGTACAGATTGTCTGGTAAGGGAAGCTTTGTCATCTGGATAATGACTGAGCAACACAGCAGTTTTTTTCACTGAAGTCGATCTCTTCTTTCTCCTCAGTATCTTGCTTCACTGCTCCTCCACAAGAAGTTTGCAGCAGAGTTCATTGCTCATGGAGGAGTGCAAAAACTCCTGGAGATCCCGAGGCCATCTATGGCTGCAACTGGAGTTTCACTCTGCTTGTATTACCTGGCGTACAACCAAGACGCTATGGAGAGGGTACGTTAAACAAACACACACACACACAGTTTGAGTTTTAAGCCTTCAAATGACAATTTTGCAGAGTAGCTGCTGTTTTCTTCGAGTGGGTAATTTAAAGTTGGGGTAAAGTGGAAATAAACGTGTTCTGAGTTTAAGTATTCTCTGCATCTGAAATGCTGCAGGCGTGTCGGGTGAAGACACTGAAGTCACATCCAATCATGGAAATGCTCCACCTGTTCTCATCATGGATGTATTAAGGGCGAATGTGTAGGAAAGATGCATTTTTGGGGCGAAGGCATAGCTCGCTAGCAAACTGTAGGCTGTAGTAGGTGCAGTAACTCATGATCAAACAGGAGAACTAGTGCTACTGAGCTAGGGCTCTACAGGAGCAGTTTATCAATACCATTGAGTGAGAGTAATGGATGGAAAATATGGTTTTGGTGTTTATGGAGCCACTTGTCCTTTCTGTGTCCTTTTCTGGTGTTTGAATGAGAATGGGCAGTGCTGAGCTCCCACACACACACACACACACACACACACACACACACACACACACACACGGAGCAGACAGTGGAGGCAGGAAGCCCTTTGCTCATTAATGTTCGTGCATTAAAACCTTTGCAAATAAAAAGCCAGTGGGAGTAATTTAATGAAACACCTGCTAAACAAGCATGAACATGCAGATCAGGCTTTGCCCACAGTCTGCGAACTTGTTAGGCTAACAGTGAAGAACTAACCATGGTGACCTGTCCAGGGTAGCAGTAGCTTCATGGTCCACTGTGTGGCCTTTATCTTCCTCCCGTCTCTGTCCCTCCACCAACTACAGTCTGTTCAGACCCGTTCCAACACATTCACCGTTGATGTGTTCCTACCTTTGTCACAGTTTTATAGTGAGGGAGCAACATTAATGTTAGTACTTAAAAAAACAACAACACACAACTGTGGCTATAAATTTTCATCTGTGCTCAGTGTCACGAGTACCCCTAAAAACAAATGCAGGTAAAAAGCTTTGTGCGCTCTAGGATTTGTAATGTTACAGTGTTGGGGGGGGGGGGACGCGTATGTTAAAGAGTGCTCTAGTGCGTCATCGAAGCATGCTTTCAGCCCCACCCAAAAAATCCTGAACTCATAAATTATGAGATGGTCTAAG